ATCCGGTTACATTCAATTTATACAAATTGGAGTTACCATTAGAATGCATAAATTATTTTTATATATTAATGAGTCTCATGTATATATGCTCATCAAATTTGGGTGACAGTAGGAGGTCAAAAACAAAAACTAGGATCTGGGGTAGACAACCTGTTTAGGTAGCTCTAAGGGCGTCCCCAATTGCCAACGAAAGTAATAGTTTTGGTTTTTGTTTTCGTAAGTAGATAATTTTTACAATACATCAAGATATATGCTATATCTACATACATAACAAAAGTTCCTCCATTCATGAATAATCAATTTGTAGAGTTGTCTTAAGTCAACTTTTCTTTAAAAACAATTGACCGAACTTATAGAAAATACCGTCAAGATTTATGATGCCAAGTTAGTATCATTGGATCCACATTTGCATCTTGGCATCTTCGTATATACCCACACGGAAAATCCCTAAGCCCTAAGCCTTGTTTGAATGTATCCGTATCCATCTGATTCTACATGTATTGGGATGAAAAATTAACTAACTTTCTTCCTAAACTACTATAACACATCTGGATACTATCGAGCTGAATACGAATGAGGCCAAACAAACCCTAACCACTAACGCCTGTCGGATGAATTTATAACCTCCAATTGAGCTCACCTTTTAACCCACAAATTCGATTATTCTAATTTCCTTATACTCCCTCCGGTTCTATAAAACAAGTCGTTTTGGACATCGACACGGTCTTTAAGAAACGACTTTGACCGCTACTTTTTGCTATAAAATATTTATAAAATATAGTCAATATATACTTTTATGAAACTACATTTCGAGATGAATCTACTTACATCACTTTCATATTTTCAAACTCAACCCAAAAGAAGTTACTTGTAGTCAAAGTTTAAAATGTTTGACTTAAGACAACCTCAAAACGACTTGCTTTAGAGAACCGGAGGGAGTACACATTTCAGGCACTGTTATTATGCACGGACAGTGTGACGACATACTTGAGTTGACCGCGGGGACGAACACTGCTCTACACGTGGCTGCAGAGCAAGGGCACCACGAGCTGATCCGGGAGCTCTACCTCAGGTTCAAGGGTCAGGGCCTCCTCTCTCGCCAGAACTCGGCGCTGGACACGCCGCTGCATTGCGCGGCGAGGGCTGGGCACGTCAGGGCAGTCGTTGTCCTCGTCGAGCTGGCCAGGGACCGTGGCGAGAACATTCTGGGATGCAAGAATGAGGCAGGGGACATGGCCCTGCACCTAGCGGCGAGGCACGGGCACGGCACTACGGTGGAGGTCCTGGTCTCGGCAGAGGCAGAACCGGCGGCCGAGCTGAACATCGCCGGCGTGTCGCCTCTGTACTTGGCAGTAATCAGTGGGTCGGTGCAAGCGGTCAGAGCGATTATTACCAAGTGCAAGGACGCGTCATCTGCCGGGCCGAGCTCGCAGAATGCCCTGCGCGCTGCCGTCTTCCAGAGCTCAGGTTAGTCGCTTATTTCCTCTTTATTTCTGGTTAATTTAATTTCGTCGAGGTGTTTGAGCATTTGCGTTGGCTGCAGAGTTGGTTCACCTGCTACTGGAATGGACGCCAGCTCTGGCCGACCAAGTCGACAGCAGCGGCAGCAGCCCGCTCCTCTTCGCGTCGTCCGACGGTGACCGCAAGATCGTTCGTGAACGCGATCCTGCGCGCCTCGCCGCCGAGCACGGTTTACAAGAAGGACTCGGGTGGTCTGTCGGCACTCCACGTCGCGGCGCGGATGGGACAACACCGCGTGGTGGAGGACATGCTAGGGAGCTGCCCCGACGCCGCTGAGCTCCGCGACGGCAGCGGCGGGACCTTCGTCCACGCCGCGGCCAGGGAGACGCGCTCCTCGGTGGTGGTGTCGCTCGCCATCAGGAGCCCCATGCTGCGCGGCCGCGGCCTCGCTCCTGGACGCGCAGGACAGGGACGGGAACACGCCGCTGCACCTCGCAGTGGCGGCAGGGTCGACCGGCGTCGTGGAGGCCCTGCTACGGAAGGGCAAGGTGCGGGCGGACGTTCTGAACAACGACGGTCACACGGCGTTCGATCTCGCCGCAGGATTGGCCGCCGGCTTCTTCGCCACGATCAGCCTGGTGGTGGCGCTAGTCGCCTACGGCGCACGGCTCTGGCCGCAGAGCCAGGACCAGCTGGAGCAGTGGGGAGGCCGCGACATGGTGCGGAAGGGGATACAGAACACGTCGGACAGCCTCGCGGTGGTGACCGGGCTCGTCGTCGCCGCCGCGTTCGCCGCCGGGTTCAACCTGCCCGGAGGGTACGGCGACGACGGCAAGGCGAACCTTAAGGACGAGACCGTCTTCAAGAGCTTCCTGGTCTTGAACACCGGCGGTGGTCCTGCTCGTCTACGGGAAGGCGGCGTCGCACTCCGGCGGCTCGTGGAAGACCTTCGCGGCGGCGCTGCAGCTCCTGTGGGTGTCACTCGTCTGCCTGATGCTGGCCTTCCAGGCGGCTTTGTTCTCCGTGGCGACAACAAGGGCACTCACTTACGGGTTCGTAGTTGTGTACACGTGCATCTTTGTCTTGCAAATGTGTATCGCGACGTGGCTGGGGCCTGCGACGAGGTTGTGCACGATTTGGAGGTTTCACTGGAAAGCAAGGCATTTGGACATCAGACGGCAGTATCCGTTCTCCAAAGCATCCGTAGTCAATTTATATCTGTTTACAGCTATAGGTTTACTGGTGTCTTTAGGTTTTCAAGTCATCTTTTTATTAGGTCGGAGATCCATGGACACCTCAACTGTCGCCTCACCATCTCCTCTTTAGAGATAAGAAAAATGTCATCGGGGGACTTCAGTTACTAGGAGAGCTAGTCGACAACAGCATCCATTTGCATGGGCTAGTTCATAGAAATTCATTTGAAGAAACAAGCGGTTAGGTTTTTTTTGTTGTTGTGTAAAACTTTTTGATGTTTTTATTACATGAAAATATTTTTTACAAATAATTTTTTATTTGTTTGGTTGTGATTGGGCTCTCTCCATGGCTAGCAATTGTATTCGTTGGCACAAATTGTATATAGCTATCATCAGTCCTTTAATTATTAAAGTTATTATTGTCTCCTCTACCTTTTCCCCTCACTCCTGTATCACTAGTCCATCAACCCGTGCTCTTGGACGGGCTAAAATTTTAGGAGATATAAGTATTAGTACTGTTAAATACATCTAACTAATAAACACTTACTTATATTAAATTATATATTTTCTCTTTTTATACTTTCTAACACAATAGATATAATAGATACTATCTAGTCTATATATAGTTATTTTAAACTTATTAATTACTATTTTTCAAGTCACTAATCTATATATTCTTTTTTTTCTATCATAATTATATTTTCCTTTCCACACTACGTCTATATATTTTAAATATGAAATTAGTTGAAACCTTACCGGTTGCTCTTGTTGCACCACATATATTATTAAGTCTTGAGTCTAAATTTTGGTTTTTCAAGTTTTATCTTATTGACTACAACAGAATTTTTCCCTCTCAAGTTGAAACTCATGTGCTTATTATATCTTCAGGATTGCTATTGGACAACCGCATGTTTCACCGAGCCCCAGCAACCGGTTTTTGGACCCTAGATTTCCTTCCCCTGCCGTAGGCGTGCCGTGGATCCTCCTCTCCTCCTTCGATTCCTCACCTTCCCAGGAAATCACCTCAGCACAGCACGGCCCCAGCGGACGGATCCGGCTCATCACTGACTCCTCCAGGCAGGCTGCGCCCCGGGCAGCCGGGAACCGGCTCATGCGTTCCTCCAAGCGCGGTGCACGAGATCCGGGTGTACGTGTACCCTGCCGCGGAAGAGCTGAAGCATGCATGGACGGCGGCGACGATGCTGCTGGCGGAGGCGCCGGTCAAGAAGCCCCGCGCAAGGGCGGCACGAGCGCGACCACATAACTTGTTCGTGCTGCTGCTCGTCTTGTTCGTCGTCTCCCGTTCACAGATTGTTCATAATTTGTATTTTTTCTGAAATTTGTGAAAAACAATTTGACATATATTTCTCTCATATTTGGAATCCATAAAAAAAATTGAAAAACTTGGTATATATTTGTTTGAAATCTGCAATTATCCCCAAATTACATCACTCTGTCCAATAAATTACACTGAAGTAATCATTGTAAATATAGTAATAAGGCGGTGTAAATATAGCTATAAGATAGTGTAAGTGTATGAGAAAAATCTAGTTGTTGAGAGAGGCTAAAACAACCGGTTATTAGCTCGACTGATATCTTTCATTAGCTCTCCTTTTTCACTTTTTTTAAAATAAGAAATTTAGGTCATAGAGTACGTTCTTAAATATTTATAAATATTACAATAGTATAGACGTGATTTGAAATGTGCACCATGTCACTTAAGATAATTCACAAAGCTTGAAGTGAGATATTGGATGTTGGGTCACTACTGGAAACTACGAGTTTCCCTAGGGTTTGAATTCCTACGAAAAAGGCCCAAAACCATAGGGAACTTGAGCCCCTATAGTATTTCGTAGGGAAATAGTTTTAGGGAACACTTCAACAGAAAATACGAAGGTGCCCTATGGTTTTGACTGAAACCATAGGGGATTCTGATTTCCCTAGGAAAACGGCTCCCTAGGGAACCTGCTGTGCATGCTGACATAAATCCAACGTGTAAAGGTATTGTCCCTAGAACTTCAGGATTCCCTAGGAAACTGATATCTAGGGAAATATATCTGGCATGGCATCATATTTGACCTCAAATAATTGTAATTGATTTTATATACAAAATTCAAATTTAAACACGTTGACACAATACCATCAGCAATAATTTAGTGCATTCAAACTCAAACAGTGCATCATCACATTACAATTATGGTGTTCATTCACTAATAATAACTATCCATCTAACAGTTAAACACTAACTCAAAAGGAGTTGTCTAATCCATGTAGTTTTGGCAACAGAACATAGGTGTCATGTTTTGGCGACAAAAGATAAGTGCCATGTTTTGGCAACATAAGAATTCAGAAAAATGGAAACTCGTCAATCGGTGGAGAGTAGTTGCCACCACCACTTGTAGTTGCTGCATTTTCGTGGCCACGGACTCTTCCATGAGCAATCCTACTCAATGTTTCTTCAGGACTTTCTATTCCAACAAAAGAGCCACCAGTATAAGCCTATTCAATTGAACAAATGGAATTTTATTAAATAAGTGGAAATTTCACGGTAAACGCTATGCCAAAAATTAGGTTCAAAGACATAGCATTTGAAAATAAGTTTCACTAGACAAGCTAAGATGTGTACAGCAATTAACATTAACAAAAGATAGATGGAAGCACACCATGTAATCGAAATTGAAAATCAGGATGCATTCATGTGTACAGGAGATATAGATGCTAATGCTATAGCAGACATGTATTTTTGCTAGAAGAACTGCACTCATTTGCAGCCACAGCTGCTGTCCACGTGAGACAGGAACAAATAACTGCAGTTGCAGCCCTTCAAATAAGCAAATGTAGAGCAATTAGACTTACATTATCAGGAGATGAATTTAAAGATGGTACATCGGCATACACAGGCCGGAGGCACAGGTGGTGGAGGACGAGGACCAGGAACAGATGTGGCAGGCATACCATTTAGCTCAGCAACTCTCTATAGTTCAAAAATCAAATGTATATGTATACTCATTAACAGGTAACTCAAGTGGCAATAAGACGGATAGAAAAGGATGCATGTGAAACGTCACCTCCATAAATTTTTGCATGTTCTCAGTGTAAGCATGTACCATTCTACTCCACTCCGTCATATTTTGGGCATATTCCTTGGCCACACGACAGTCATGAGCGTCCTTCCTTAATCGCTCATCTTCCTCTTGGCGTTGGCGCCTCGCAGCCATTGTAGATTCACGACTTCTCCAGTCAGGGAGGACTTCTTTGTCATTGACCATCCCATTAAATGTTGCCCATTTTCCATGTGGGCGGCCACAAGAGCATTCATAAAGAGCTCTACCATCAACCGGAGAGTGCAACCAATCACAATCTAGTCCATTTATTCAATGGCCTTAGCTTTGTATTTCTCCTCGCCTTAGGTTTGATGCATAACCATCAGGAAATTTGATGTCCTTAAACCACTGCATAACATCCTTCTTCTGGGATCTTTTTAGGGAAAAGGGTGCTCTAGGCCTATCCCACGGGCCATTTGGCTTCTCAACAAGGTTGAGATGTCTCCTATTGCACATCAAGGCTTAGTCAAGTCTAGCCTTGTTATTATCCTTGGTCTTGTCAGCAATGTCAAGACATGTAGCAAAATAGCTTCTGCTACATTTTTTTAGTATGCATAGCATCAACGTGATGCAGACGCATAAGTAGAGGGAAATATGGCAATTCTCACAGAAATGGGATGTGAGTCCAATTGTGGGTAGTACCATAACCTTCAAAAGATCTCTCTTTGACTTCATTCATGTATGCTAGCACCTCTGCCCCTGTTAACCGATGTGGAGGCGTGTCATACACTGCTACGCCCTTCCTAAATGCATTCTTCTGATCCCTGAAACTATGGTCAGCTGGCAGGAACCTTCTATGGCAATCAAACCAACTGTACTTATGCCCATTTTGTAGCCAAGTGCTGTCCACATCTGCCATACAATCAAAACAGGCCAAGCCACCGTGTGTTGACCATCCAGAGAACATACCCAATCCAGGATAGTCATGGATGGAAGTATGATATGCAACCCTCATTTGAAAAATTTACTTTGAGAAGCTATCATAGGTGAGAACTCCTGATCTCATCAACAAGTGGCCGCATGAAGACATTCATATTCTTGCCAGGATGCTCCGGTCTAGGAATCACTAAACTAAGAAATATATTCTCCTCCTTCATACAAAGCGTTGGAGGTAAGTTCAGAGGAATTGAAAAACTGGCCAGCAAGAATATTGAGCTTTTCCATAGCGAAATGGGTTGAAGCCATCTGTTGCCATAGCAATCCGAACATTCCTCGTGTCCATTGCAAACTCTGGGCAAGACGTATTGAAATGTGTCCATGCCTCAGCATCAAAAGGATGCGCCATAACATTTGGGTTGGCACGTCTACCCTCCTTGTGCCACCGCATGTGCTTTGTAGTGTTTGGCTCCATGAACAACCGCTGCAACCTTGGTATGAGTGGGAGATAGCATAGAACCTTATGTGGTATTGGTTTTCGTTTATGCCCTTGGTGTGCTGGTTCAGTAACTACATATCTACTCTCCCCGCAGAAATCACACTTATCCTTGTTCTCATCTTGTTTGTAGTATATCATGCAATTGTTTGTACAAGTATCTATCTTGATGTAAGGCATTTTTAAACCACGAAGAAGACACTGGCACTCGTACAAAGTTTTTGGCATCTTATGGTTCTCAGGCCGAACATCACCAAACAAATCCAATAATTTATTAATGCATTCTATGGGGAGATTGTATTGTGACTTAACTGCCATCAAGCATGCTACAGCTGTTAGCAGTGCAACACTAGTGTAGCTATGGAGCGGCTCTTTTGAAGCTGCTAACAAGGCATAGAATGCCTTAGCATCTGCTATTGGTTCGTTTTCTACACTATCTGTATGCTTTGCCTCACCGAAATCAGCTAACATTTGATCTAAACTATAAGCAGTATCATACGCATAGTCCATTGTAGGCTGACTAATAGGCTGTTGACCATGTTCAGTCCATATAGTATAGCCAAGCATAAATCCTCTTTTGCACAAATGCATGCTCATGACAGGCTCTTATGCGTCTAACTCTATTGCGACAATCTGAACACGGACAAACTACTCCAACTTTTTCAGAATTAGAAACAGAACTGAAAGCCTGGTCTAGGAAAGCATTTGTATTTCGCACCCAATCCAAGGAATGACAACCATTGTCATTCCAGCCTTCATACATCCAACTACGGTCTTCTATGGACATGGCTATTGTTGTGACAATGAACTAAAACAGAAAATTTGCAAGTAATTGTTCACATAATTTAGTGCATGTCTTCTAATACTAATAGGCAAACAAGTTTATATAGAACATATACTGATTACTAGTAACAAAATTAGGGAGATGCCAAACTGCAGAAAACACTAAGCAAATTTCTAGACTGCACCAGATGAGTTATACATGTGCTTCCATTAGTAGCTTTGTTGTGTCATTTTACAGAGACAGTTGCACTCATTTTTTGTTTAGATGTTGCGAAAATATCCCCAGGTTTAATTTTACAAGTGATCTTTGTATCACTTTTCTGTTTAGAGGCATTGCTTCATATATGTAACTATGTAAGCAATGAGTAGCTGCACTCATTTTCCAGTACCACACCAATTAATGCATTTGCATGACGCTATTTACTTGCAATAGTGTCAAAATGTAGTGAAATAACAAATAGTTTTAGCTGCCAGCAATGCAAGACTACAAAAAGGATTTATGCACTTAAATATAAATATTCTCGGGCATGGATATTTTTGTGTAAGAAATGCAGTTTCATAGCCTTGATACTGTGAGTAAAGGGTCAAGTTAGTTGCATTGGTGCTCAAATATTATTGCCAAATGACAATGGAGTAGGCTGTAGGTTGCAGGATTCAGTCAGCCTCAAATAGTGCGGCATGTGTAGATAATGGGCAAGCCATTTTCAAACATACCATCTTTTTTCATCTCACTTGCCTAAATTTTTCATGCACAAGCTTTTATAATCATATTAGCATACAAATTAATTTAGACATGCTAATTCTGTTTTGACTTAATTAACAATACAAAAAGAACCAAGAAAAGGAAAATTTCCTTCTCACCTGAAACCCTTTGTTCAAGAGTGACAAGCAGACCGTGAAGCCTTCTTTCTACAGATGTGGTGCTCCCTTGCCCTCTTTTTGTGCACAACTAAAAGTCAAGCTCCCTTGCCTTCCTATGCAGATGTGAACATGTGGTGACTTCCTTCACAACAGAGCTTCAGGCAAGACCAAGCAGTAGAAGGGTGCCTCGACTATGGAATGGGAGGACCTGAAAATAATACATCCCTATCAATTGTTTGTCAATCCTCTTACTACTGTCCACACAAGAATGTACTAGGAATCCCAAGAACATACCTTACCTCCTCTGTCAATCCATCCTTTGCTTCCCCGGATCTAAGGAATAGGACATGGAGGGAGGGAATGGGAGGCAACAGCAGATCGAGAATGGGAAAGGTGGCGGCTTAGCAAGGGTGGACGGTGTCTTGCGGAGGGCGCTGGCTTGGGGACGAAGGGCAGCGGCTTGGGTCGGGGATGAAGGGGCGGTGGCTTGGGGAAGGAAGGGCGGCGGCTTGGGGAAGACGTGCGGCCGCCGGGGGCGGCCGGCCGGCCAGGCGCTGGGCAGGTAGGCGGCGGGGCGCTAGGGCGTCTGGGCGGCTCACGTGCTTCGACGAGAGAAGAGAATATGAGCGTTCTTTCTTTCTTTTCTTTTTCATTTTTTTTTGTTGTGGACTTGTGCTGGCTTCAGGCATAGATGGAGGCAACTGAACATTGGGCGGCGGCGGCGGGAGAAAGTGGCGCCCTAGAGATTATTAGGATTCTGATTTGATTCCCTAGGATTTTCTATCCACCTGCTAGGGAAAGGTTCCACGTTGGTGATGGCATGGCTTGTTGAAGGACCAGTCCTCTTTCTGCTCCCGACAAAATTACGCAGTTCCTAGGGAAATACAGGATTCCCTACGGTTTTGAATGGGACCCTAGGGAGATGGATAATTCCCTAAGACTGATAGAAAACTGTAGGGAATAATAAAAAACGTAGGGAAACTCGTAGTTTCCAGTAGTGGGTAAAGTATTCTTAAAGGGCCAGAAAATTTGATCGACTTTTTACTGTAAAGTATACTTAAAGGGCCAGAAAAATATAGCCACCAATTGTCTCCCACACTTTTCAAGATGATTGTATTTTCTATCAAGAAATTATATATGCAGTTATGGTTATATTTAGTGTAGACATGTCAAACATTTTAGTTAAGAATATATAAATATATCTAAAGTAACAACCTATAAATTATGTCATTGTTACTAATATGGTTTTAAACAATTTGTTAGTATCATTAGTTTATGAATTGTTAGGGAAATATTTGTGGTGAAATAAAACTTATATATTTATTGGTCATGCATGGTGGCACGACACGTATGTTTACTTTAATTTGATCTTACTATATTAATGTTGATAAAGGTGGGCAATGTAGAAACATATATATGCTCTACACTAATCTAAACGATTTTCTTGGAATAGAAGATGATAATTTAGATGTGGATTTGAGGGTTATTTAATTTTTTCAATAATGCGATAAAAATTGAGTTATGTAAATTTATTGATCATAATAGGAGGTTATGGGTAATTAGATACCAATTGAGAACTACTTTAGATCGTGCTTCTTAATAGGATAGATGGGTAATATAAATATAGAGTCATAGGTTACTTTATATTGTTTCACACAATAGTAGAGTTGGATAATTATTTAGAAAATAGAATAGATCCAATAGTTATTATTATCAATGGTGATTAGGTTATACTGAATTTATAGTTAGATGTTTTTTTTAGAATATCTCGGGTCTATCTTTTGTTTTTCTATTGGATCTTGTGAGGATTAACATGATGGCTCTATTGGGAACCTCTA